TATATTATTTTTTGTATAATTTATTTATTATTAATTAAATTTAAAGTAAATAATTCGTTATGACTAGTGACTAGTGACTACTCTTAATAAATTTTTATTCTATTTATCTTGGCGACGGTGGTGGAGTAAAGGGTGTCTCTTCATAATTTCGTACGTATTCATTTCTATTGGGTGTCCTATATCTAACTATTCTGACGGGTAATTCCATGACTTCTGTGATCCTGATATACTTGTATTTTATCATTATATAAATTGCTATTATTAGTATAATATATATTGATGCTAGTACTATAACAAATTACTGTGTACAAATTATATTTATATTAAACTAAAATATCTTATTATATTCTTATAAAATTAAAACCATCTTACATAATCCTATATATCTCTAGTATCGTGCAAATATCTCATATAATCTATTAATCGTTTACATGTGGGTGTCACTGGATCTGATGACATACTTAGAGTTAGAATTCGCGTAATTTTCGTTATTTCGAGAGTATTAAATGGTTCTTCCATACAATTATTCGCGGTATTAATATGTCCTATTAAACACCTCGGCGTGTGTTCCGGTCCTAAGGTATTTGTTTCATGGATTTCTTGTTCAATCGCCTTTCCTAGTTCCACAATGAATTTTCTTTGTCTGTTCCTAAAATTAAAATTAATTTTTATCGTATTTATTTTATTTATTATTATTTTGTATTATTTTCTTTTAAATTGGTTGTATCGTGATTTCATTTATTATTTCTTTCTCCGGTTACAAAATGAATGTTCTGTTTCTATCCCTAAAATTAATATAATTATTCTAACTTAATATTGCTATATACTTATTATTTTTTATTTTTGCTATTTTTTTTTTTAAATTAATTGACTTGTGCGTCATTATAATATATTTCTTTTTTTTTTTTTTACGTTATTTATATGTACAGTAAAGACCTTGCGGCCTCGCTGTATAGCTACATTCTCGTTCCCTATAACTGCTGTGACCCGTACGGTCCTAGCCAGATTGGGTCGAGTTTCGTTCTATGATTATTATCTTTTAATAGTACTAAATCATTAACGTATAGTTTTTGTGGATTTTCATTTTTATCATAACGTTCCTTACTTTTTATTTTATTTTTTTTAATTAAATGATCTCTAGCTATCTTATGCGAAATTTGCATATTTTCTTTTAGATCGAATATATAATCGTCATAATTGTAACGTGGTTCAGGTTCGGCTTTTAATCTAATCGGTACCTCCAACGTACGTCCATAGACTAATGCGTATGGTTGAAAATTAGTAGAAGTATGTACCGTTGAATTATATACAAAGAATGCAAAGGGTAGTAAATGATCCCAATTATTTAAATTCTTATCTACATAATGTCGTAAGTACTCGGCTAAGTCCTATGAGCGCGTTCTACGGGGTTACCCTGCGGTCTGAATGGACTTGTGTTAACCTTTTCTATTTTTAATATTTTACAAGCATTTGCAAACGTTTTCGAGAGGAAATTAGTTCCTTGATCCGTGAGTATTGTTTCTGGTATGCCGTGTACACAAACGAAGTGTGTAACAAAGGCTTCCGCAACAGTATTTGCCTTCTGGTCAGGAAGTGGAATTCCTAAAGTGTAACGTGTCAAATCGTCCTCCATCGTTAAAATGTATACATTATTGGACAGTGTAATCGGCAAGGGCCCTACTATATCCATAAATATTTTTTCGAATGGTTTAGACGAGGTGGATGTAATAGCCATTGGTTGTTTTATGTGTCGATTTGATACCTTATTAACCTGACATGACGCACAATTCTTTATATATTTTCTAACATCTTCTTTCATACCCTTCCATAAGAATTGTTTTTTAATGCGCTTAATGGTTTTATTCACACCTAAATGTTCGCCTAGTTTTGAGTCGTGAAATTGTGATAAAATGACTGCTTTTTCTTCTTCACTATATTCTACATTTGCACATGTAATTATTGCTATATCTGTATTGCAAAATATGTATTGTAACATTGACCTTATTTTTTTCCTTTCTAAATTATCGTGATCGCCTATCTTGCCCATGGCTAATTTATTCAGATTGTTTTCCTTACAAAATGATTTTAAATTTATTAGTGATAAATGTATGCTTTCTAAGAATATTATAAACCTGTTTTCCTGTTTGAAATAGGGTGTGTCTCCTATTACTTTACTAGTCGGCAATATTGTACCGTTTCCAAATTGTTTTTTTAATTGATAATTCGTTCCTGTTTTAAAATTATATTGCTTGGCAATTTCTGATACTATATTATATTTTTTTTGTGAATCTATTAGTGTACCTATAGTTTCTTTTACATTAATATTTGTGATAATTTGTGTTCCTAACTTTTCGATATATTGTTCGTATGATTTGTTTTTTATTTCCTGAATTGAATACATGCATGTGAGAGTATCTACATTTGAATTTAGAACTCCGGGTTTGTGACGTATTTGTAATTGATTTGTGTTAGCGGCGAATGAATTAAATGTTATATGATTATTTTCTAAGGTTGAGAATATGTGGAATATTCGTGAGTCGGTTGTTCCGCGATAATCTGGTTTATCGTACGAGTACCGCGCCTCTCGTTCGACACGTTTTCGTTTTCCGAATTATTAACGTTTCTACTCTCATCGTTTCTCTTTTTATAACACGAGTCGATATTATGACCAGTTCGATTACAGTATGAACACGTAACTACCTGTATATTATAATTCGTAAGTGGTTGCGTAAAATTATTCCTATCAGGTGGACGGTTGTTATTGCCATTGCTCGCATAACTAGGTCTCGTATTATTCCTACATCGAGATGCATAATGATTACCATTACAATTATAGCATTTTATTGCTGGCCTATTGATTGGTTGAGAAAAATTGTTTGCACGCGGATAATTATTTGTCCTTACAGGTTTATTTGGTCTAATGTTTTCGTTGTTCCTATTTTCGTAATTCGATCTGCGCTGGTTATAATTTTGTGAATGAATATTCGAATAATGGTTCCTATTTTCCTGTTCTAATCTTAGTTCTACCTGTTCTGACATGGCGATTTGTTTCGCGATTTCCAGAGTTTTAGCATTGCGAGATTTTACTATTGTTCTAATCGGTTCTACTAATCCTTTAATAAATATCGCTAGAGTTTGTTCCCTTAATATATCATATATAATTTTTGCTTCTGCAGGTTCCTTGCCTAATGTACTTACGGTACATAACTGATAATATAGTTTCTCTACTCTATGACAATAATCATTTGCATCCTCATTGTGATACATTCTAATCGAATTTAATTGAAGTTGTAACGACGATGCCGTGGTTGTTACCTCAAATGCATCTGTTAAATAAATTTTTATAAACTGCCATTTCGATACATTTTTGTATTTAATCATTTCTAATGCTCTACCCGTTAAACGTGTGGTAATATATTTTACTAGTGTTGGTGCACTATTTGTGTCGACTAAACTTACTGCCATATCGCATGCATTTATGAATTGATAGATATCGTCAATTCCTGTGCATAGTGGAATTAATTTAAAAGCGTCTTCTAATCTTATGGTTACTGCCATTTTTTTAGTGCGTGTTATAGGTAAAAATACTAATGACTGATGTTCAAAACTATCTGTGACTTGGCTACGTGTGATTACTCCTGGACTTGAGTTTCTACTTGCGCTATCTCCTAACTGGGTATCTACTATAATATTCAACTGGGCTTTCTGTTGGGCTTCAATCTGGGCTTGGGCTTCTCTCTGGGCTAATAACTGGGCTTCTAACTGGGCTTCTTCTACTACACTAGTGTCATACAATGAATTAGCTACGTTCAAGGGAGATGTACCTTCTTTGTCCATAAATTACTTAGCTACCTATTTAATACGTTAATACTCATAATAATAATAATCAACAACGCCCTATAAATACAATAATAACTTCAATAATATGCCCTATAATAAATTCAATAAACTTCAATAATACTTCAATAATAAAAATGCCCTCAATAAATCAATAAACTTCAATAATAATCAATAATAACTTCAATAAAATATGCCCTCAATAATAAACTTCAATAATCAATAAATATGCCCTCAATAAATTCAATAAAACTTCAATAATAATCAATAAAATATGCCCTCAATAAAATTTAAAACGTTTTACACCATTATACTTATAGTCAACTACTTAGAATTATCTAATATGTCCTAATTATGTTGCATACGTCTATGTAACAAATTTAAATAATTATTCACTCACAATAATGCTGTGTTCCTGGTTGCTGATGACATGCTGACGGATTTGTTGGTACCGCGACGTGAGATATTTGTTTTTGATGGTTCTTCTTGGAGTTGTCTTCTCGGAAGAGTGTACAGTTCTTCTTTGTTGACGGTAGCCTTTGATGGTTGCCTCCCTTTGTAGAATCCTTTATCGACTGCGCCAGTGTTACATGCGGCCCTTCAGGGATCCAAAAGCTTGTTGCACTTTTACAATAAAATGTAGACAATTTTAAATATAAATCAATTGTAATTTATTAAAACCAATAATAATTAATATAGTCGTGGTGAATTGCAGCGTCGTGAGTTGACTCGTTGTAGTAGTCGATAATCTCCATGTAAGTCGTGTGTAATGGCTGGTGGCTAAACGGCTCGCTCGGTCTTGGCGGCTCTGGTACATCTACTTTGGCTGTCTCGCTGTCCCCTATATATATGGTGGCGGCGTCCTTTGAAGTGAGCGGCGCGTGTACAGTCGTCCTTGATATGGACCTCACGACTATGAAAGTGGTATTCGTAGTCGAAAACACTTTTGGGTGTGGTCGCATTCCTGGTTGTTATTATGAGCAAATATATGATATTGCGTAATCCCATTCCTGGCTGTTATTATGAGCAAAATACATGATATTACGTAATCCCATTACAATATATTATAGGTAAAATAGATAAATCATGATTCACTAGTAATCGTGTATTCGTGTGAAAGATTATCTAATTACTCAGTGTACAAATTATTAAAAAAAAAGGACTCACGTTTGTAGCGGTTCAGACATTTTAGAATCCCAAAATGATTGATCAAAGTATATTTCTTCTATACTGATCCATTTGGCAGTGTATATCACAAAAAAGCATTTTTTTCTTTTAGTAGCGTGTAATTGTCCCATTATTTGGTAGTAATATACGTGTTCTTTTTTCAATTTAATTTCTTGCCCTTCAACTTTGCAATATTGTAGCTAAAAATAAAATCAAAATCAAAATTACATTCACACTTCACACAACATACTGTTACGAAGCCACGAAGGCTAAAAATCTTCAAATCTAACAATATTTAACCTATCATCTTATACAACTAAATACAAATGTACCTACTAAGTAATTATCGACAAAATATCGCAATAGAAATATAATCGCGAAACCAATATATTGCATGTCGCATGAGAAAAATATCGTCAGCTACTATAAAAATATAGTAGCAATTTAATTATAACATAATATTTTGGTCAAGATATTTTACCGGCAATATTTTGTTGGTATATACCACTAAAATTATAATTATTAAATATAATTTAACACTCACAAGTTTACTGTTCACTGCTTCAATGGCATCGATTGAATCACGAGCAGAATATGGACATTTTATTTCCAATAAATAATGTTCACCAATAAGACCATCTATAAAATAAGTTGAATATTACAAAAAATGTATCAGCAGTCTCCCTATATTGGGGGTAATTATTCAGATTTATATACTTATTATATTTTTAGACTTTTAATTTATATAATATATATATTATATATATTTTTAACTTGTGATTTAATATTTATTATTTTTAAAATATAAATTATAATTCATCCAACTAATATTTTGGTAGTAATATAATAATAATGTTCTGTTACCTGGGCTGGCAGCTAGAAATGGAAATTCTGGATCTATAATCAAACCATTCTCATAAACTTTTTCTTTCGACAATTGTTCAAATTTTTGACGAGCTAAAGTCTCCATTTCTCTACCATACTGTACCGATTTTGTTTGTAGACTGTCAGAAGCATATAAAATATTATGAACTACATTTTTGCAGCTAGTGTTTGACCGCATTTTACAAATTTGACCAAATCTTGAAGCTGTTAGTCGTATTTTACGTTCGTTGTACCACATTTCACTGTTGCTTTGTTCTCGAGTTTCAAATTCGATTTTTTTTACATCAGCTCGACCTAATTCTTCTAAAAATGTAATTTTTTTGTTTTCCATTTCTTCTGATGAAAAAAATTCTATTAGAGGTTCAGCCAGTCCATAATCTTCGTCTTCTCCATCCGTATTTTTTAGCTTTTCTTTTTTCCGGAAATAATTGCCTTCTTTTACTGGTATTAAGCCGTATTCTTTGACTGTTCTTCAAAAACTTTTTTCCAAATATTCCTGTAATAAAACAATTGTGTAGCTAACCTATATTAAAGTTACTATTTTATTAAACGTAAATATGCATTTTACCTGGACTACATTTAGTTAATGTTTTATGAATTTGTCTTAAATATTGTTTGGAATTAAATGACACAATCGCAGCTTCTACTCTCGTATTATAATTACCTCTACTACTAAAATTCAATCGTTTTCCGGCAATGTGTTTATTAATAACAGAATTAAACTGTTCACAGATATTAGAAGTCTTATTTTCTAATAAACTTTCCGCATTAGTTACAAGCCTTGAAGCAATGTTCACTATTTCCCTCATCATTCCACTAGTTTCAGCTTCTGGGACTAAATTTAATTGAATTTGTTTTGATCGATCACAAAAATATGACCTACAATTTGAATGATAACCAAGTCTGTGATATGGTGCATTGATTAAATCACTTCTGAGACCTAAAATTATATATATTTTAGCCTTTTTATGCAATAAATAAATTGGCCAACAATAGTACAAAATATTATACACTATATGATATAACAACATACACATTTTAAAATAAATTATTATCCTACTCCAACCAAATTCCAAATATATAAATAGTTACCTTTAATTTTTTGTGTTTTGGTAGTATTGATTTCTTTTCTCCAATGTAATGCTGCCATCTGAACATCACATCTAAATCTCTTAATGTTTGATAATATAAATTTGCGAACACGAAGAGGGTAACTCGAATTTCTAGCTAGTGTTGTTAGTTTCGAAGCATAATTTCTCATAAGATGGTTTTTACACTCAATTTTTCTTATTGTAAAGTTAAAGCCATATGGTCGACTTTCGGCTAACCGCTTAGTAACGTTACTATCTCCATCACCTTAATATCAAACCATTATTTATTATTGTAATTATTATCATTATTATTATTAATATAATAAACACAATTTTTTTATAGACAATATTTTTTTTCAAATTCGACGAAATTTGGAGAAACCGTCTCCGCTCAGAATTATTATTCGTATACAATGATAATATCTTTGAATTCAATTTAGCTCATAATTTACCAATTAAACAATTGTATTTAAGACCATGCATTTCAACGCTGTTGGAAAATCCTTGTAGCACACCATCTGCTTCCATGCAAGTTGAAGCCTTTTTCCAGTTGAGGAAACATGTATGTACAGGTTTTTCTTTATCCTTCATACTTGAAGACCTTTGACAAATTATGCAATATTTATTTCGAATCCCGACAAATAAAACTTTTTGGGTTCTATAACCAATTATTGATGCCTGTAAACAAATATATAATAAATAAATTGATTAAATAAATTAATAAAATAAATATATATATACTATAGTATAAATACTAAATACTAAATAGGTACATTGGATGAACTCAAAATATTTTTTAATATAAATGTACTTAGATAATAAATTAATAAGTACGTACCGCGCCTGACAGTGCATCGTACTTGGTTTTATAGCTTCGCTTGGACCAATGCCCGTCCGCGACCACTGTAATAATTGGTATCCCATCCACATCCAAGCTACCAGATTCTATTGCCAATCTCCTTTCTTCTTCACCGGCTTTCTTCATTTCGTCCCAAGCTGTAGCGTGAATTATTTCAGCTACCTCGGTTTGAACACGCAAAAAACCAGTACTCGACAATGCAGGCAAATCAAGAAATCCTGATAGTTCTGCTAACTGTGTATGTCCAATACCTATAGCTTGGCAAGCATTTACCGCAGCATTATTAATATTCATTTCTGAATTATGAATATATTCCGAATGTAGTCTAGTTTTAATATTACACATTGTACACTTAAAAGTAAAAACTGATATAAATCCATAGTTCACTTCTGATTCATATTCCGTGTCAATAAACGAACAACCATAAGGACCACTATGCCGTTTTTTAATTTGTTCTATTATATGAGACATGTTGACGATTCTCCGACCAGTTAACATTCTAAAATAATAGACATTTTTAATGCATTTATTGTATTCAAATTATGGTAATAAAAGTCAAATTAATTTTTTACGAGCGTTCGAAGTTGGACATTGGATATTTACACGTCAATTAACAAATTGGCATACGATTTTTAATTTTTTGTTATTCAAAAATGAACAACCATAGATAATTTTAATTATGTTTATTTATCATTTTCTAAACATGATAAAACGTTCAAAATATTTTTATTCGTTTTTATAGCTATTTACAGCCACGATTTTTTTATAAGCGTATAGAGTTCAAATGTTGACAACATTTATCAAATAAAATATTTACAAATTATTTTGTAGTTAAAAATATATAAAATATTCAATTTTTATAGCTAAGAATTAAAAATTTAAAACTATGTTCCTCTTAAGTTGTTATAATTGGAGTTCAAAAATATAAAAGACATATAGACACGTTTTTTTTTTTTAAATAGATTTTTTAAGTTCAAATTTGGACGAAATTAGTTGAAGTAAAGATATAATAACTTTGGTTAATTTGTTGTACTTTAAAAATATTATTTGCGGGTTATTGAAACTTTTAAAATATATTATTATATTCTATACACAATAACATTTTCATATGCAAGTTTTGATTTAACCTTACAGATATGGTACTTACTGAGTATTTGATTTATTTGTGTTAATTGATGATAAGCTATCATCTATTGTCTGAATACTCAAACTATGTTCAGACGCATTGGAATCACTATAAAGTATATATTATAAATAATAATAATAATAATAAGAGTTAAAAATTAAAATATATATTGTCAACTAAGTTATGAAAAAAAATATACAAAAACTCACTAAACTTCATTTGACCATTCAGTTACTTTCGACGATGACATTATAGGCGTAATCACGTGTTCAATCATAACATTTGCACTATAATTTAGGAAAATGAAAATATATTGACTAGCCTACAAGATAATAGGTAATAGGTAGTACCTAGACACTTACTTTTTCTTAGGAATAAACTCTTTGTTTGGTGATTGTATGTATTTAGAGTCAATAATTGGTGAAATATTTAAATCCCTAAAAAAAAAAATCGGTATACATTTTTATTATAATATAGACAGTATAGTCACTATAACGAAAATATAAAACTTTATTGGCTACAACTAAAATACGATATTATATTATATTTATTTTAAAATGTAGGTATATCGGTAGTCAGTCTGTTATTTGAATACAAACCAATCATGGGCGAAGCTGCGACGGGTTGGCTATAGAAACATTAGAAAATTTGTGTTATCCTACATTCCTACTACGCCTATCTAATAATTATAAAAACAACATTTTTATTTTTTATGCTTACTCCCTTACATATTTTTTTCCATTATTTTCAATTCTAAAAAAATCAGTGTTTTAAATCTTAAAGATCAAAAAGAAGTTAAGTAACGTAATATATGTCGAACCACGGTGTTTAAAAACTTTAAATTCGACGCTATAAGTAAATGTGCGATGACACAATGTTGATATTAGAAGTGCGTAAAATCAGAAGGACGTAGGTACTTACTTGAATTTTGATAAAGTCGGAGCACACGGAGCAGATTGTACTATTTGGGCTGTAGGCTGAACAAAGGTAGAACCTCCTGGAAGGGAACCATCATATCCTAAATATGATCCAAAATTGTTGCTTGAAAAAAAAATATCAATTTAGGCACAATACAATTTTAAGAAAAACAATTCATAATGTTTGTTGTACCTACCTGACATGTTTTTCTTCGGGTTCATGTTCAATTAGTTCATTAGAAACAATAGAAACAGAGTTACTATCTTTTTTTATTAGTTTGAGACGTTTCATAATATTGTTGATGGATTTTTTTTTAGAAATATGTGTTCTTTTTAATTTCGCAAATGTAGGGTTCACATCTGAATAGTTAATCAAAGTAGCGTCATATTCGTTTTTCTTCGTTAATCTAAATACACTTTTATTCACTTTTTCGGATGAAAAGTATTCGACCAGTACGGTGGGATTTTTTTCATTAGGCATTGAACGAGTGCCTGTTGATTTCCATTCAATGCCGTCAGTAGAACTTTGATTGTACGCACACATATACCACAAGCCTGGTGTTGGTTCCAAGTTATAACACTGTACTAGGTTATCACTGTTTAAATTTGGTTTTTTAAGTAATTTAATAGCTTCTTTTAAGTTTAAAGCTGAGCGATTTGATAGCAATAAAATATTTTGCAAAACCATTTTCATACAATAAAGAAACAACGATTTTTTTTTTAACGGAATAAAACACACGCACGCTAACTTTAAATACTTCTAAACTAAACGAGTAAAATCAATATATTTAGATATATTGTATATAGAACACAATAGTAGTCGAATAAACTGAACTAGAATTTGTAATTTGTTTGATAAAATGCGTTAGGTACTCATAATATATTATGTTGATGTTTTTAATTCCTTAATTGTACGATAATTATATATTATAATTATTTACGATATCTTTACGATAAAGATGAAATACCATGATATAATCATTTTTAAATTATAAGTTCAAACGTCCAAATGTAAGTAATTATATTAATTGATATTATATTATTAGATAAAAGTATCTGACAGCTAGAATTGCATTTGTCATTAATATTATATTGACATTTGGTCATTATCAAACGCATTAAAAAGTTAATAATTTAGAAAAATAAAAATTTATCAAAATAATATACTCATTATAATAAAATATAATTAGTCTCTATATAATATCAATTATAATATAATAATAATATCATTGCATGTAACAAACAATATTCAATATCCCGCGCGTTATCGAATACATTTTACTCACCAGTACTTCAGAGTACACCATCGAATGCAAGCCTTCGAGATAGGAAACGATTTTGTTGTACTTTATATACAGTGTTTCGACAATCATTTATTTTTCGTGTTTATTTGAATAGTTTTTTGAATTTGTTCTTATAAATATATAAGTCAAAAGATCGACGGACTTTGGTATTCAACGTTTGACATTCGTCAAGCGAAATTCAAACATTGAAACAGGTAAGAAAATTGATTTTATTTACCAATTTTTTTTTAAAATTCAATTTTTAATTAATTTTAGTCTTCAATCAGAGTTGAGCAAAATATTATCTAGATAATTATTCGAATAAAAAATTATTTGAATAATTTGTAAACAATATTATTCGAATAATTTTCAAATATGACAATTAGAATGATTTTTTTTTACAATTATTCGAATAAAAATGTAATTGAATAATTTACAAACATGCTAATACAAAATACAAATATATTCGAATTCTTTAGATAGTTCTATATTTGTTTCATTTATAGTATTTTTCTATTTATTTCAAATAAAAGAAGATTTAAATGAAAACTTAACTTCGTAAACTTAAAATACAATGCTAACTATTGTTTTTTAATACGTAAATGTTTTAATTACCAAAATATTAACCATATGTCCATATTATGTTAACTAAGATAAAATAACTGAAAATTATTTAACTATGTTTGAAAATTAGTCGAATCATTTGTTATTCAAATAATATTGTTTTCGAATTATTCAAATAATATTATTTTGAATTATTCGAATGATTGTGAAATAATAATTTGAATAATTTTTTATTCGAATACAATATTATCTAAATAAAATTGTATTCGAATGATGTTGCCCAACTCTGATTTCAATATTAATTGTTATACATGTCGATCCCACAATTGGGGCCTGATTTATAGAAATTGGTGACTCTCTATGTACTTATACCTAGATTTTCTAGGTTTTTCCTTGGGGGTGTTTTCTATAAATAAATTTAATTTTTGTTAAGTTAAACAAACAAAGCCAAATATACTGAAAAATATAAAAAAAAGCAACAATATTTTCATATTATTAAATGAAATTTTATATTTAAAAAAATTCAATTTATGACCTTAGTGTTTTTGATATTGTTGCATTATCATTATTTGTTCATACTAATTATACATGATCTAAATTTGCTTTATCTTATTGTTGTAGATATATGGTCATAGTACGTCAAATATAATTATTGGACACAGAAGATAAAAAGTAAAAAAAATGGACTTTAAGAAGGTCATTAATCAAATGCTGCTGTTGTTATTCACCATACAAATTTCTACCACGTTTGGTAACCATGAGGAAGATTTGTTTAAATTAACACCAACCAGCGATAGCCCGGGTTTGCAGTATGAACTCATAGGTAATGGTAGAGCTTGCGGAAGTAGTTGGACAATAAATACATATATGGATTTAAAATTTTTAAATAACAGTCTTAAAAATATTAGGGAAATGTTAAAATCAATTGAACTAATTGAGTTCAAAGATATATATATAACTTTGTATCAGTTAAAAAAACACGCGAATAGATTGGAAAACGAGATAGGTTTAATTGTACAAATGGGTAGACATAACAAAAAAGTTAAGCGATCTATTGAGTTTGGGGGTACGGTATTCAAATGGATGTATGGAATAGCTGATGCTGACGATGTACGAAGATATGATAGTTCGATCGATAAATTAGAAAACAATGAGAAAGATGTAATGCGTATTGTTCATGATCAGATATCTATATTAAAAAGCACAATAATTAATTTTAACGATTCTGTTACATCATTTAATGAAAATAAGAAAATTTTTGATTCAAATATGAAAGCAGGCGAGAAAAAAGTGAACGAAATGATCATTGAGATAGCTAAGGAAGACAGAAAAATTATTACTCTGAGTTCGATAACTCTTTTAGAAAACTCTATATTTGAATTGGACATGTTTATAAGTAGGTTGCAAAGAGTAATTTCTAACGTACAGAACAATATAGTAGATGCGTTTATAATAACACCCGACCAATTGCTATCGGAAATAAAAAATATTCAGACTATTCTTCCGGATGATTTGAAAATCCCTGTTAAATTTGATGAGGATAATATTCAAGAAATATTCAAAATATTAAGTATTGAAATGCACACAGTAAATGACAGATTTATTTTTTCTTTAAAATTTCCTCTTTGCCTTATAGAAAATTTCAACGTTTATTACATTTTACCGATTTACATTCCAATAAATGAACATGGCCAATTTCTCCATATGACTAAAAATTCTATGTATTTGTTAATGGACAAAATAATGACCAAATATTTTATTTGGCCAGATTTAAATAACTGTAAAGTAGTGGATAAAATATTTGTTTGTGGATTTAATGAAATTATACATAATTGTGACACGGACCCCACATGTGTAACAGAATTACTAAAAAATTCTGTAACTAAACCACCTCAATGTGATACTTATATCTCTGAATTCAAAACAGAAATGTGGTATCCCTTATTTTTCAAAAATCATTGGTTTTTTGTATGTGAAAAACCCACTACAATTACTATAATTTGTAATAAACAGTCTTTCACTCAAAAAATTAAAATTAAAAGTTCTGGAAAGTTATACTTGAAGTCTGGGTGTATTGCTTACACCTCGAAAGGTGTACTAAAAACTGAACAAGTATTAAATCAAACATCATATTTCTCAGTTCCAGTAGACTTATCTCTTACGAATGATTCATGCTGTAATGTATTCAATTTTTCAAATCAGGCCTATCCCAAACCGATTCACTTCGATGAAATAAAAAATATTAAATTTAATAAAGAAGCGTTCAATAAAATAAATAAACAATTAGACCAACAAGATATGTTACTAAATTCGCTTATTGTAGATAAAACATATGAATTTATATACACAAACAAATATTTAGTTATCATAATAATAGTGTTCTTATTATATTTTATAGCAAAATATTATTTAAATAGGAAAGCAAAAAAATCAACCATAGAAAACATTAATTTAAGTTATAATCCTCCAAGTTCTTAAAATTAATTTAGCAAAGTTTCTTAGACGTATTTATATACCTAATATTATGTATTATTATATTATATTATATATTATTATATAATTGTCAAATAAAATTCACAACATTTATATTATTTTTTCGGAAGTCAATAATTAGTACCTATGTATGTATTTTGTTTATCTTTCTTTTTTTCTACACTTATATATTGTATAAATGTTTTTGTATAAATATATTTTATTTTATAACATACTTTAATAAAATTGTTCAAATAATCAAATGTATAATATGTATAATTGTATTGAAATAAATCACCTTTATAAATTTAATTTTATTTGTTACTTTTAAACTTTTAAAGTAATTACTAATTTGTATAGTTGTGTTGTAACGGTATCTAATACATTAATTATTTGATGAGATAAGTTTTAATTTTTATTAATTCTTATATTTTTAACACAATAAATAATATATATTATTTAGAAATTATGTTTAAATGTTTTTGAAGAGGTTTTTATAGATGTTTTATATTACGTATAGGACTCGATTTTCGATATTTCATTTTCAAAATCCATAAAATCGTTTTGCATTTTTTGTTTTTTGTTTTCACTTGTTTGATTTGTGAATAATTGCTATAATAAATTAAAATATCAAAAATCTAGTCCTATACTTCAACAGATTTAACTCTCCTCTATAACTTTTATAATAGGTTTTTTGCTCTAAAACAGTTAGCCGTGTTTTCGGAACTAAAAAAATAAGTTTTTTCTCACAGCCGCGGCTTTCACGGCAATACGGTAATGTAAGGACGGTTGCGGGCATCGTAATAAATCGAGCATAATTTTATTTTGTTTTATTTCACGTAAATAATAATAATATGAAAATAATGCAACGACGGGCGAAGCGCGGACCGCTGATAACAGACCGGTTTTGACCTGCCGGCGGCGAGCGCGCCTGGATGTCAGAGCTAGGAGGGGACAAACGCTGCCGCTAGAAACGACAGCAGCACATGACGGCCGCAATTACATTTTTTTTCTGTAAAACATGCCAATTTTGTTCCAATAATACGGCTTACTGAATGGTTTTAGAGCAAAATACCTTTATTAAAAGTTGTAGAGGAGAGTTATATCGGGTGCGTGTCGAGGCTCGATTTTTGATATTTAGTTCTCAAAATCGATAAAATCGTTTTGCGTTTTCAATTTTTTTCACTTTTTTACATGTGAATAATTGGTATAAAAAATGAAAATATCAAAAATCGAGCCTCAACACGCACCCGATATAACTCTCCTCTACAACTTTTAATAAAGGTATTTTGCTCTAAAACCATTCAGTAAGCCGTATTATTGGAACAAAATTGGCATCTTTTTGTACGGTATTTTTGCCCGTGTGGCGTCCTCTTAATTAAAAATACATACAAATGTATGATACAGCGTAAATATTATTGTATTATGTATAGAAACAATATCCAATCTATTATATAAAAATAAGTCCGGTTTTCCTCCCTGACGCTATAACTCGAGAACGCACGAACCGATTTCCACGGTTTTGCATTCGTTGGAAAGGTCTTGGGCTCCGTGAGGTTTATAGCAAAGAAAATTCTGGAAAATTCAGGAAAAATTCAACAGAAAAGTGGGAAAATCGTTTTTCACATACAGCGCCATCTATTATACATAGCATGTACTTCAAACCAATAGCAACGGTGCGTGATAAAGTGTTTGACGGATAGTTAATGCGGCACAACTAGCTTCTTTGCAATGTGTGAATCAGATCCATTCGCAGCGACGCTGATGTACGTTGAAATGCCCAAGTATTACACTTGGAATCAATCAACAAAGAAATTCCAACGTCGCAAACAAGGAACCCCAGTTCCAGACTGGCCACAGGTGTTTTCAACTGATGCACTAGGTCGTATGTACACTGTTCATCCTAGAAACGATGAATGTTTTTATTTGCGACTGCTGTTAGTAAATGTACGTGGACCGAAATCATTTGCGCATTTGAAAACTGTGAATGGCCACCAATGCCAAACATATCGAGAAGCATGTCAACTATTGGGTTTGCTGGAGAACGATTCTCATTGGGATTTAACACTTGCAGATTCAGTTGTTTCATCAAATGCGTACCAAATACGAACGCTGTTCGCAATTATCATCACCACATGTTTTCCTTCACAACCAATTCAGTTATGGAACAAATACAAAGACGCCATATGTGAAGATATCTTGCATCGCTTGCGTATTCAAACGAATAATCCTGACATCCAAATAACCGATGAAATCTACAATGAAGGATTGATTCTGATTGAGGATCAATGCTTGACTATTGCAAACAAGCTACTGATTGAAGTAGGAATGATTGCGCCAAATCGATCGATGCACGATGCATTCAACCAAGAATTAAATCGAGAGCTGCAATACAATGTTGATACATTGCAGGAATTCGTTAGAAATAATGTTCCGTTGCTGAATGAACAGCAAAAACAAGTATACAAAACATTAATGCAAGCGGTGGACAATAATACTGGTGGTCTATTCTTCCTGGATGCACCTGGAGGAACAGGGAAAACATTTGTCATTTCATTGATTTTGGCCACTATTCGATCAAGATGTGACATAGCTTTGGCGTTAGCATCATCTGGAATTGCGGCGACTCTTCTAGATGGCGGTCGTACTGCACATTCTGCGCTTAAGTTGCCACTCAATTTAAACACAATTGATACTCCAACGTGCAATATTTCCCGATCCAGTGCAATGGGAAAATTGTTAATGCAATGCAAGCTCATTGTTTGGGATGAGTGCACAATGGCACATAAGAAATCACTTGAAGCACTTAACTTCACACTGAAGGATCTTCGGAGAAATAACAACATCTTTGGCGGCTTGATGATATTGTTGGCAGGCGATTTCAGGCAGACGTTGCCAGTAGTTCCCCGTGGAACGCCTGCAGATGAATTGAATGCTTGCCTAAAGGCATCACCTTTATGGAATAACGTAAAAACATTATCGCTAACCACTAATATGAGAGTTCAACTTCAAAATGATCAAAGTGCTGCACAATTTTCCAAACAATTGTTAGATCTCGACTTTCGGTAAAGAGACTTATGCCGAATTTAATTGAGGCAACCATTATTAACGGAAAGTACGCAGGTGAAAATGTATGTATTCCTCGAATACCAATGATTCCGACTGATCTTCCGTTTGACTTCAAACGATTGCAATTCCCAGTTCGCCTTGCGTTCGCAATGACAATTAATAAGTCGCAAGGCCAATCGCTTAGTGTTTGCGGGATAAATTTGGAAAATCATTGTTTTTCACATGGACAGTTATACGTTGCGTGTTCACGAGTTGGGAAACCATCCGCTTTGTTTGTGTTAACGTCAAACCAAAAAACAAAAAATGTGGTTTACCAAAGAGCACTACAATGAAACAATTAAATAACACTTCATTTTAGTAGGTAATTGAAATGAATTTATTACTGTTGTGAAATGAAATAAATATTTTCCTTTTCAAATATATAACAAAAAAAATTTTTTTTCTTTATATTTTAATCACCAAACGAAAAAAAACATAAAACGAATCTGGTGGCGAAACGGAGTTCGCCGGGTCTGCTAGTTCAAATATAAAAATAAGTATTTTTTTGAGGTACTCGAATACTTATATAAGGTATTATTATAGAAGCTAGGTATATAAAATAATAGTTTTCTGTTGTCAATAGCCTATCACTAGTGCTGCAAGTTGGTTTAACAAAATTATAATTATTATATAAACCGTCATATACCTATCATCTATACTTAACTATAAAGGAGTGGGAGGGCTTAGCCACTATTAAACTGAAGCATGTATAAATTTGGTTCACTGTAGGTCACCTGCAATAATTTGTTTGTCACATATAATATACTAAATTAGGACTACTCATCAATATTATAGTCCCATTCAAATTAATATACATTAATATAATATAAATATTAATTATTATTTATTAATTATAGATTTATTTTTAAATATATATTTTATAATTAATTAATGGTATATATAATTATTTTATTTTAAATAATGGTTTAATATATTTTAATAGTTGGATTTAAATATTTAATCTTCAATCATAATTAAATAAAAATAAATATTACATCTAAATTATTAATTTTCAAATGATAATATATTTTGTAACAACATTGAAAACAAAATAATTATTTTTAAATCTAAACTAATCTATATTAATCAACCTTTATCATTGGAAATTGTTACTTGGGTATTAAAAAGGATATTTTCTGGTTGATAAACTGTTTTAGTTAGAAATATTGATCTATAATCCTTAAAATCAGTTGGATCATTATGCATCAATGGAAGTTCTTGAGTATTTTTATGATAAGTTAATTTATATGACATTAAATCATCATAAAATTGACAAAACTTATTATTATTAAAATCTTGATCTTGACGTTCTGCAGGATAATTTATTCCATTTAATTCAAAACTATAGCTTCTAACACGACAATTATCAAATTCACCAGGGTCATGGTCTTGAGTATTAATTTATTTGCTTGAAATACAAAACCACAAAAACGTAGATTTTTTTACTTCGATATTCATTTGTTACATTAATTTTAATAGTTTTTCCTTTTATATTTCTTTCCTCAATCCTTTCCAACTCTTTAAAATTAAAAGTATACTTTTTTTCTTTAGAAAATGTAGTTATTTCATTTACCAATAAAAACATTTTGTAAAAACAGTGTATCGTACAACTGGAATTTTAATTGAAAATTCATCAATAACAATTTTACCATCTTCTGTTCCTACAAGAGTTTTTCTTACCTCTTTACAATTTTCAATAACTACATCTTTTTTTTCGTAATGCATCATCATCGTATTTCTAGTAAACCATAATTCCATATCACAATTGATAACGGAATTGAATATGTCATTGAAAAATGGTAAACCAAATTCTGATAATAAACAAATAACATTAAAATTACCTCCACCTTTAAATTTGCTTACAAAGCCTGAGTTTATACTTGGTCCATTTGATCCAAAGAGTTGCAGCCTTTATTGTACTTACTTTTCCCACATACTCATTTCAGTTTTGTTTTACCATGTATTTTAACTTGAACTTTAGTCCATAATGTTTAGGAAAATCATCAATTAGTTGGATGTTTGAAGCTTTAGGATATTCTTTTCCATCTTTTTGCAAATATCTACCATACATATAACACTTTTCTTTTCTAAGTATCCATAAAATTATCCATGTTTATTTATTTTAAAATGGTATCTTTATTAGGTGTATTAAGTTGAGTGGTTACTCGTAGGTGTAAAAGTTTTATATTGCACACTTTCAATACAACTGATTATACTTTTTAAAAATATTATACATTGTTTATAATAGTAAAAATTAAAAAAAAATTTTATTATAAAAATTTTTTATAATAAAATGAATCTTTTTATAATAAAACCATATAAAATAACAAATCAAATAAAATCTTTTTTTTTCATTTACCTATGCGACTTCAAATAACTGGTCCAGCAGGCTCTGGTAAAACAGAGGTGTTGAGGAATATAGTTCTAATCGTTGACTAATTATGAAAATTTATATATTTTTACAAAAAATATCGACCAATCAGTTTATAATGATCTAATAGAATAGTTGAAGGTATACCTGAGATTTATTTTTATATATCTGATACAGATATTATATCTGTAGACGAACTAATTTAGAAAACGAACCTAAAAATATTAAATAATTAATTCATCTTGAACAAAATTTAAAAAATCAGATTTATCACATTCTGAAAAAAGGTATATAATTTGAGAAAAGATGAATATGAAGATGAATATGATGAAAAAAAGTTACAAGAAAAAGAATATTCACTAGCAACAGAGAAAAATAATTAGTATTAAAAAAAATTTAAAAAGTAACTATAGAAAAAGAGTTATAGACGATATACATTCAGCTGAAGATAAAGTAAAACAATTTGGACCATATTAGAAGGTGTAATCAAAAGTTGAATCATCTGTTAATGGTGTTAAAGAAGTTGCTATTAAAACTGATAATGATATTCAAAACATGTTAATACCTAAAAATCCGTATAACCTCGTAATCCAGAGTTATTACGAATATTAAGTACAGAGGATTATGAAAATATTCAAACACTCCTTTGCCTCCTGATACAATATTAGGTAAAAATGCTAGTACAGCTCTAGCATCTTTACCTGAAAAAAAATTCATTTGGAATAAATTATAATAGAATTACTAAACAACATTCGATCGGAAAAGAAATAATAAAATTTAATTTAGATAATATAATATTAAAAGGTAAAGAACGTGAATAACTCCAGGTATGTGGATCTATTACTCATTCAGATGTTCCAAAACAAGATGAATATAATAAAGAAGATTTAGAAAAATATACACAAATATTACTTGAAACAGATGCAATATACAAAAATTTTAATAAAAATACAAATAGAGTTAGATCCAGTGGAGGTAACAAATATGTACAATTGATTAGTCCTATTTGGAGAAAAATTCAAAAAGAAAAAACACCAACAACACCAATAGCAAATTTAAATTCTACAATACCAGATTTTTCTACACTACTAACAACAGAAATTTTAAAACCTACAAAAGCAACAGAGAATAAAGGAGCTGGTTTAATGAATTATACAAATAATGAAATTGAATATCGTTGGATAGATAATATGAAACAATTAAATGAAAGATTACATTTAATAGCAGCTGAACAAAAAGCAGGAAATTATACTTAACGTAATGAACTACATGGGATTCTTAAATTATCTAAAACAAAAATGGAACATTTAATAGATGATCCTAAAGGTATTGAATATTTACTACAATATGTGATAAATTTACCAAAAGAAATAACAAATGACATACATATAAAACAATTAAGAGAACAAATATATTATATATCTAGTGAAGAAAGAGTAGGAAATAATTATTATCATAATAAAAAACTTGAAATACTTAATTTTTGTATTAAAATAATGGAAAAAGGACTTGATATTCCCGATAAAGGTATTTTTATCTTGATATTTCATGGGCATCGTTCTTATATTTATTAGGAATATTATTTGTAAAAATTGTTTTTAAACTTTCTGTATATTCACTATAACCTAAAATTTTTAATATTATTTAAATGATATTTTTAATAGAAATTATTCCATTAAAAAAATAAATGTAAAAAATAATAATAAAGAATATAATAAAGAATGGATGGATTAAATAAAATTGAATCTTTAATTAAAGAAATTGGTATTAATAATAAAATGGATGTATTAAATAAAAATATATACCCTGCTAAAACTTGTGAGAAATGTAATTTAACCCTCCCTAGCAATGGCCTAAATCAACTACTTCAAATATACAATTTAATCTGGGAAACAGGTTTTTACCCTGACCCATGGCGCAATGCAATAATCATACCGATTCCCAAACCCAACAAAAATAAATTTAACATATCCAATTACAGACAAATCTCCCTCATAAGCACGCTAAGTAAACTTTTGGAAAAAATGGTCAACAAACGCCTAACATGGTTTCTTGAAACATCTAAACTTCTACCCATCAACCAATGTGGCTTAGGCGAAATCATTCAACCTTAGACCACCTCTCATGTCTACACACTGATATCTGCAATGCAATAAATACTAAACAACATCTTATACTTATTGCACTAGATCTTGAGAAAGCCTATGACATGGTGTGGCGCAACAGAGTCCTTCATATCATTCATAAGTGGGACATAAACGGAAACATCCTAACATTTCTTAAAAATTTCCTCACAAATCGCTCGATACAAGTCAAAGCTCACCACAATTTATCCAACTTGTACCCTACTGAAAATGGCCTCCCCCAAGGATCAGTCCTCAGCGTAACCTTGTTTCTTATAGCCATACATGACATATTTCTCCAAGTTCAAAACCCACCAAACACCTAATCTTCGCTGATGATTGCTACATATACTGCAGTGGCACCAACATAAACACTACACGGGAAATACTTCAAAACGCTCTCCATACTCTACAAGAATGGGCCAATAAATCTGGATTCATTTTTCTCCTCAAAAAAGCAAAGGCATACATTCAATCTCAATTAGACACCATCCTCTACCTTAAAAACACTCAAATCCCCTTTCATAAATCACTCCGTATACTAGGATTGATTTTCGATAATAAGTTAAACTGGATCACGCACCTTAAACAGCTAAAAGTTGCATGCAAAGCCAAATTGAATGTTATAAAAACTCTCGCCAACCATACATGGGGAGCAGATAAAAATTCTTTGTTAAACATATATAAAACATTAATTCTATCACAAATCAATTACGGATCTCCAATCTACAATACAGCTAAGCCAAGACATCTCAAAACACTAGACCCTATACATCACGAAGGAATTCGTCTCTCGATCGGAGCTTTCAGAATAAGCCCCACAGAAAGTATATTATGTTACGCAGGAGAAATACCCCTTCAACTCATAAGAGACAAAACCACTCTTCTACACTGTATCAAAAGGAAAACCACTCCCAACCACATAGGCCATATACCTTTTTCAAAAACCAAAACCCAGACATCAATCACAATGTCAAAAAAAAACTTACAACATACAGATATCTACTCCAACTTATGCAATAAAATGAATATACATACCTCCGTCGAAGAAAAAATTATCTTTCAAAAAAACCCTCCCTGGCTATGGAACATAAAATTATCAACAGACTTACTCACACTCTACAAACATGAGATAAGCCACTTTTTGATTATCAGCGATTCCCTCAGCGTCCTAACAGCACTAAAAAACCCGTGGCCTAGAAATGAAATAACTCAAATTACCCAATCTGAACTAATCAACACCCAGAAAACCTTCGAATTTATGTGGGTACCCTCCCATGTAGGAATAAAAGGTAACGAAATGGCTGATGAAGCAGCCTCCGTTGCCTCTAATATTCTACATAACAGCACCATCGACAAAATATCATCCTATGATATTTTTACGTCCGTCAAAAATAAAATCCTTTTGTCATGGCAACACCACTGGGACTCCATTCAGCCTACCAACAAACTTAAACACATAAAATGTTCTGTGAAACAGTGGTTTACACCTCCGGACCTCAACCGACGTCAAAATATTGCCATCACTCGTATTAGAATCGGCCACACCTTTCTCACACACTCCTTCCTAATCAGTAAAGATCAACCCCCTATATGCAACACATGTCAAACCCGGATCACCATAAGACACATTTTTGAAGAATGCCCAATACACGAACCAACCAGCACTCTTCTCAACCTCCCACTCAACATCAAAGAAGCTCTAAATGAAGAACATACTTTAAAAACTATCGAATTCATCACCAAAGACAACCTTATTAACAAAATATAGTTTCAATATAAATTAAAATGTAAATCTATTTAAACAAATATTGTAATTTTCTTTTCTATTTTTTTTTTTTTTTTTTTTTTGTTAAACTTAAACAAAAATGTTGGCTAATAACCTTTGTAGTTGAAGCCTGTAAACCTTAAATAAAAAAAAAAATAAAATAAAATAAAATGGATGTATTAAATAAAAAAATATATCCTGCTAAAACTTGTGATAAATGTAATTTAACAATTGGTTCCAAAAGTTGGTCTGCTCATTTGAAAACTATTCGTCATCAAAAAAATGATATAGATCAAACAATTTTACCTTGTAGACTTAATAAAAAATACAAGGGTATACCAATTAATCAATATAGACTAAAAAATTTTAATTTTTTGAAATTAATGCAAATGATATAAAAAAAAAGTATAAAAAATAAATAAATGTTATGTGAAATTTTGTGCTTTAGAATATTTTGAAAATTCTGAGAATGTTAGATATAATCTAAATGAAATTCCGATTGAAGGAAATATTTTTATTATTAATCAAGGAGATGGAAATCCTTATATTTCTAAACTATTACATTCACCAACTTGGTTAGAACTTTATCATATAGCCAATGATCAAATTATTTCAACAGGTGATTATAATCACCATTATCTAGACAATATTCAGATTGTTCAAGATTTAGGAAATATTAAAATGTGTGAATTTAGTATGGGGTCTTAATATTATTTAAATAGAATTTTTAATAAAAATTATTTTTATTAAAAAATTGAATGTAAAAAAAATAATATTCTATATAATAAAGAATGGAAAATAAAAAAATTGAAGTCAATTTTAATAGAAATGTCAAGAATAATAAAATGGATAACAAAACTTGTGATAAATGTAACTTAACAGGTAGTTACAAAAATTGGTCTAGACATTTGAAATCTATTGGTCATCAAAACAATGATCCAGATCAAACAATTATACCTCGATTTAGACGAACATACAGAGGTACAACAACAACAAATGTAAGAACAAGACAAGAAAGAATACCAAAAATAGATAAAAATTGTGATATTTGTAAGCTAACAGTTAAATACAACAGTTGGTCTAAACATTTACAGTCTATTCGTCATAAAAATAATGGTATAATACCAAGAAAAGGGTTTGTTTTTAAAACTGTAGAAACAGCATTTCAAAGTAGTGTAACAACTTATATTATTAAAAATAATATGGGTATTAAAGATATACAAACATTTTTAAATCGTTTAGGTAATTCACTAGCTGAACTACATGAACAAGCATTAAAGAATCAAAATTTTAAAGTTAATATTATGTTTCTTGCTATATATAAGAGAGGTAATAATGAAGAAAATATGGAATATAGTGAAAAAAATTTTAAAACAGAAAATAAAATTTTAACAAAAAATTCTAACTTAAATGAATTTTATACAAATGCAAAAATTAAAATTGTAAAAGAAGAAGAAGATTTTATAATGAAAGATTCACAATGGAGACTTCATCAAATTTTAAGTTTGGGAATAAATATAAATAAATATGTTCCTTATAAGGGTTCTTCATATATTCCATTACCTAAACACATTGGAGATAAACATGCTATTATAAATGTTAATAATAAAGATGATAAATGTTTTCTTTGGGCAATACTCTCTGCTTTACACCCTGTTGAAAAAAATGGACAAAGAGTAACTAAATATAAACGCTTTAAAAATGAATTTGATAAAGAATTTAAAGATATTGAATTTCCAGTAAAAAACACAGACCTTCCGAAATTTGTTAAAAGAACAAAAGATATTTCTATTTCCATTTATTGTTTAGATAAAAAAGAAATTGTACCTTTACAAATAAGTCAAATCGAAAAAACTAATCATATAGATTTATTATATTTAACAGAGGATAATAATATAAATAAAGGACATTATTGTTGGATTAAAGATTTATGGACTAATAGGAAGTTACAAAAGATGGTCATAAAAGATTTTTGTGTAAAATGTGTTTAAGTAGTTTTGATAAAGAAAATAAGTTAAATGAACATAAACATTATTGTAATAATAATAAAGCTGCTAAAATAGTTCTACCGGAACCCTATGATAAAACTTTAGAATTTCAAAATTATAATCATCCCTTAAGAGTACCTTTTGTAGTTTTTGCTGACTATGAATGTATTCTTAAACCAATATATACTTGTCAACCAAATGATACAGAGTCTTTTACTAATTGTTATCAGAAACATAAACCTAATAATTTTTTTTATTATATTAAATATAGTAATGGTGATTATAAACCTCCTGTAAAATATTCTGGTCCAAAAGCATTTTACGAATGTATGAAAAATGGAGAAAAATTTATTCCTAAAATATATGATAAAATAGTTCCTATGAAAACATTGAATGCAGAACAATTAAATAATTATTATAATAAATCTGATAAATGTCATATTTGTGAAAGATATTTATCAGATTTACCTCCAATGTTAGAGAACAAATTTAAAATAATTAAAAACGCTATTGAACATTATGAAAATATTGATGATGTTAAAAAATTTAAATTGAATGAAGATAAACTTAAAATAATTAAAGACACTATTGAATATTATAAATTATTAAATATTATAAAATATTATAAATTAAAATTGTATAAATATAAACTTAAAATAATTAAAGACGATATTGAACATTATTTTTTCCTGAAGAACATTTAGATTCAGTTACTAGAAAGTTAGCTTATCCCTATGAGTATATGGATTGTGAAGAAAAATTTAATGAAACATGTTTACCTCCTATTGAAAAATTTTATAGTTCTCTCACTGATAAAAATATAACTAAGGAGGAATATGAAAACTCACAGAAAATTTGGAAAGATTTTAATATACAAAATATACGTGAATTCACTAGTTTATATAATGAGATTGATGTTTTATTGTCAACAGATATAATAGAAAATTTTAGAGATATTTCTTTAAAAAATTATAAATTAGATCCTATGTGGTATTACACAACACCAGGATTTGCATGGGATTGTATGTTAAGAATGACAAATGTAAAATTAGATTTATTAACAGATGTCGATCAATTATTGATGTTTGAATCTGGAATCAGAGGTGGATTATCTCAATGTAGTCAAAGATATTCAAAAGCAAATAATAAATACATGGGAGATAAATTTAAAAAAAAGGACGAATCAATATTTTTAGAATACTTGGATGCAAATAATCTTTATGGGTGGGCAATGAGTAAATATTTACCTACTGGAGATTTCAAATGGATTGATAATCTGAATGATTTTGATGTAATGAATATTTCTGATAAATCACGTAAAGGTTATATTTTAGAAGTTGATTTATCTTACCCTAAAGAACTTCATGATCTACATTCAGATTTCCCTTTAGCACCAGAAAGACATTTTGATAACAAACAACTCCCAAAATTATTAACAACTTTGTATGATAAGAAAAAATATATAATACATTATGAAACACTAAAATTATATATTAAGTTAGGTTTAAAGATAGGTAAAATTCATAGAGTATTAGAATTTAGTCAATCTCCTTGGTTAAAAGTTTATATTGATTTTAATACTAATCTTAGATCAGAAGCTAAGAATGAGTTTGAAAAAGAATTTTTCAAATTAATGAATAATAGTTTTTATGGACGTACTATGATGAATGTTCGAAATCATGTTGATATAAAATTATGTTCTAATGCAGCCCAACTAGAAAAATTAATTGCAAAACCAATTTTTTCAGAAAATTTAGCTGCAGTACATATGAAAAGAACACAAATATTTTTCAAACAACCAATATATTATGTAGAAATGTGTATTTTAGATTTATCTAAAATGTTAATATATGATTTTTATTATAATATTATAAAGAAAAAATATGAAAATAGAGTTAGATTGTTATATACAGATACAGATTCACTAATATTAGAAATAAAAACTAATGATTTTTATCAAGATATGAAAATTATGTTAGATCATTTTGACACTTCAGATTATCCAAAAGATAATATTTATGGTTTACCTTTAGTTAACAAAAAAGTTTTAGGCAAGTTTAAAGATGAGTTAAATGGAAAAATAATGACTGAATTTATAGGTTTAAGATCTAAATTATATTTACATTGAATCTTAGATACTGAAAAAGAAATTAAAAAAGCTAAAGGTGTTTAAAAAAATGTTGTAGAAAATAAAATATGTTTTAATGATTTTGAAAAATGTTTAATAACAAAAGAATCAAAATATGTTAAACAAAATTTATTTAGAACTAAGAAACATGATATTTTTACTGTAGAACAAAACAAAAAAGCTCTAAGTGTGTATGATGATAAAAGATTTATTTTGGAAAATGGTATTGATACATTAGCTTGGGGACATTATAAAACAAAAATAGATAGAAATGATTTTGTAAATCATTTCAATACATTAATTAGAAATCAAAATCAAAAAGATTAGAAAAATATTTTTAATAGAACAATGTTAAAAAAATAATATTTACTAATATAAATAATAAAAATGGAAAATTGTAAAAACTTTTAGATATGATCAAGACTTATCAGAAATTGAATCATCTATGTATAGTTTAGAAACTCATGTATCATTTTTATATCAATCTTATGATGATAATGAGAGTTACAAAAAAAATTTTAAGAAATTAATTGGTTATTTTAAGGAAATTCATAATGAATTATCGGATCATATAATTAGTCATTGGATTGATAACTATTTTTTTAATGTTCACTAGTTTGTTGTTAGACTTTTTTAATAGAACAATTCTATTAAAAATTAAATTAATTTGTCTAACTACAAATACTCTATTATATTTTAATTTTGATTATTAATATTATAAGTTTTGAAAAAAATATTTTTAGGAAAATAAATTTTGCATTTGATTTTTAATTATTAATAATATAAGTTTTGTGAAAAATATTTTTATTATTATTGCATTTCAATTTTCTGATATTTTTGCACATTGTTTTCTTTGTGATCTTTTACTGATATAATATTATGAGCTGCAGCTTAAAGGTGCTGTGCCAGGATTTTTATAGTTATACTACTAGCGATGATTGATGGCTAGACATTCGATTACAATTATTCGCAATTTCTAATTTCTTATACAGTCAACAAAACAGAACAGGGCATACAGCGGGGCACGGTATTACACCAGACGAGCAAAGACCATACTACACTCCAAGTCACAGTTTTCGGTACGGTTTAATTTCTTTTCGAATTTCCTGTGAAACGATTTTCACACGACTACCTCGAAGGCGCCGGAGTCGAGGCACAAGGGCAGCTAGTTTAAAATATAAAATCATAATTAAATTATTATTGGTTTTGTGTCAGAATAAACTTTAAAATAAGTATTAATGGGTTGTTTAAAGAGTGTTGATAATTTATTGTTAGATGAAAACTTAAAGTGTGGAACAAAAACCATCGATGATGTTCCTTTAAAATGTGTTGGTCGTTCATTGGACTCAAACTGTGAAATTAGTCCATCATTGCTGTGTTCAGGTACTTATTATATTTTATTTTGTAGTTAAAAATAGTTTATACATAATAAATGTTAAATCTTTGAATTTTAAATTTATTATTTATATTAGCTTTTTTTTTTTATTAAATAATATAATGTATTAAATTGTTATCAGTGACTAATATAAAAATAAGTCATATTTTATTATAAATTGTTTTAGATCAACATTATGACTGTATTGCGAAGAACAAAAATGATTCTTTATTATTAGATGATTTATCAGATATAAATCATGAAAATCATGAAAATCCTGAATCATATTCTTATTTAGAAAGAAATACAAGTCTATACTTAGGTATGGATTTAAATTTTAAATTTTAGTAGTTATTTATTAAATAATATTTTAAAAAATTGTATCAAAAACTTATTGTTAATTTTTTCAATTCTAGTTTGGAAAAATGATCCAGCTATACTAGCAAGATATGAATCTATTCCGTTAGAACTAAAACATCACTTTAATACATTGGGACCATGTCAACCTACGCCAGAAGATTTACCAGATAAATCATTTCCTCGAGATTCATACGGTCGTCGATTTACTAATTTATGGTACAGTGCAACTCTCCCGGATGGAAGTAAAGTTCATCGTGATTGGTTGTCTTATTCTCCTAGTATGAATAGAGTTTACTGCTTACATTGTACGAGTATGATGTATGCTATTAATTTGCATAAATCTACTCACTCTACTTGGGTTAAAGATGGGTTTAATCTATGGATAAATGGGTCTGCAAGTATTTATAAGCATTCAATGTCTGACAATCATATTACTTCATCCATACAATTTAAAATTAGTACTCGATTTATTCCAATTATTCCCAGTTTGCAATATGAACAAAAAATGCAAGTAAGACTTAATAGAGTGGTGGTCGGTGAAATTATAAATATAGTAATTTTTGTAGCCCGTCATAACTTGGCATTTCGGGGCCATAGAGAAAGCTGGTCTACATCAACTTCTAAAGAGTAAAGGCAATTTCAAAGATTTGTTAATTCTGATTGCAAAATATTCAGCTGCCATGTCTGAGCATATTACAAAAATCCAATTAATCAACTCATTGAAAGTATAGCTGATGAAATTTCTTTTAATGTACAAAAATCCATTCAAGCCTGTAAAATGTTCAGTATCTCTGTAGATTCCACTTTTGATACATCAAGAAAGGAACAAGTTTCCTTTATAGTGAGGTATGTTTGTGAAATATCTGGCAATGTTTTTGAAAGACTATTGGCTATGAAGGAATCGGCACATACAACTGGTATGGATTTATTTATCCATTTCCAAAGTTATGGAAAATTAAATTTAAACTGGAAACAAGACCTTATAGGCCAGTCAGTTGGTGTCATGCTCATCGCCTCAACTTGGTAGTTAAAAATGTAGTATCTTGCAGTACCTATGCGGTTGATTTATTTGGAAATGTTGAATCTCTGTATGCTTTTATATGGTGTTCCAAGAAAAGAGTAGCATTGTTTCGAAAATATCAAGAAAAGCATCTTCATAAATTACATTCTGGTCAAACAATGGCATTAAAAACAGTTAACACAACAAGATGGTCATCTCATTCATTAGCATTAGATACAATATTAAGCAGGCATTATTCAAAAATAAAAACTTTAGAAGATATTCGGACCACAGAAGGCCCTGGTGATGCCAAAACAGGAGCTACTTTCAGTGGTCTATTAAACTATTTAAAATCCAATCAATTTCTGTTCACAGCTTTTTTGTTCAAAAAATTATTCAATATTCTTGAACCATTGAACAAGACGTTACAAACCAAAGATTCAGACTTATTCACAACCACTATGTTGATAGATAGTGTAAAAAACAAAGTTAGTTTACTTAATAACAGAGAAACGGATAACAGTTTTAATTCAATTATTTTAGAAGCTGAGAATTTTTTTGAAAATAGTAAAGTTGAATTTACACCTTTACCAATCCTGCGAAAAAGGAAAGTTCCTGAAAAATCGGACGAATTAAGTAACGATGAACCGATAATTGATCCTAAGCAAAAATTTAAAATTAATTGCTCTTTCGTAGTCATTGACCAAGTTCAAAATGAGCTGAATGAACGATTTAGTACCGACAATACTGGTTAGTTAAATGATATATCACTTATTTCTAGGAGACGGATTTTAGAAGTAAGATCTAATCCAAATTCTCTCCCAAAAGATGCTTTTAATGCCGTATGCCATATTTATTCAAAATATTTAAACTATGAAAAATTAGTTAATGATTATATTCGGTTTGCCGCTAACATATTTGAAATAGAGCAGTATAATACTCTTCCAGAATATTTACATCCAGTTGCTATGAATGATGAAGAAGAATTAGCTGATCAGAACAACAACTCTGACCTTGAATTTGACATAAATGATGATAATGACGATCAAAATAACATAAGTTCAGTGTCAAGTGCAGCAGTTTTGTTTAAAATGTTTTGTGTTGCAAAATTAAATGGTGTGTTTCCAAATCTTTATATTTTGCTTAAGATACCAATAACGTTGCCTGTGACAAGTGTTTCAACTGAGAGGTCATTTTCCAAATTAAAACTTGTTAAAACTAAATTACGAACAACAATGAGTGAAGACCGTTTGGAAAAGCTCATGAAAATAACTCGTGAACCGGATATAAACATTGATACTGAGAAAATAATTGACAATTTTTCAACAAAAAGTAAATCTTTTATAAAAGTATTACAATATTAAACTTTTTGTTATTAAAATGTGTTGTTACTTAAACATTTTTGGAATTGAGTAGTAGTAGGTACGCACACTGTAAACGGTAAAATAAATGTTAATGTGGTTACACAACTACTATATAGGTGAATATAGTTTACGTTGGAGCACTATAATAGTACTTGTAGTAGGTACCTTAGTTTACGTATGGACGTGATCTTTATACATATTATAAAGTTTATATGCGTATACACTAATACACTATAAGTTATAACTCTATGTATCTAATCTCTATTTCAAAAGAGAATATACCGCTGTCCGCTATCGCGCATCGCCGATCAAAACTGTCTTACAAGTAGGTATCTATACACCGAATTCAAATAAATTGTACGTAAAAGATTAGCACTAGAGTAGTACTTTAGTTGTACTATTTGTTAAAGTTGTACTATTTGGAACTAGTGATGGGCATAATCGAATGATTTCGATAATCGAATGGATTAGTAACCGAGACATTTTCATAATCGAGAGAATCTCTCGAATAATCACTCATATCGTCCTTTTGTAATTTCTTTTGAATTTACTATACGTTGTTTTGCAATTTCATAAGATTGTTGAAATTTTTGCTTAATTTCATAATTATATCTTGGTTCGGGTGTCTTCTTTAATGACGTAGGTATTTTCCCTGGAAATCCATAAAGTAGTTCATACGGTTGGAATTTTGTCGTTTCATGCTCTGATAGTCTGATGTATTATATACATACATTGCATATGGAATAAATTCTTCCCAATTCGCTAAATCTTTGTTGACATAATGTCGCAAATAATTCCCTAATGTTCAATGGCTTCGCTCTTATGCTCCATTACTCTGTGGTCTATATGGTGTTTTGTTGAACTTGCACATTTTTAATAGTTTACATACTTCTGAAAATATTTTACTTAGAAACTCTGTGCGTTGGTCTGATACTATTGATTCTGGAATTCCATGTATACAAACAAATAAGTTCACAAAACTATGCGCTACAGTATTAGCTTCATGGCATACCATAGGCGTCGCAATGCTAAATGTTGTTAAATCATCTTGCATTGTAAGTACATATTTATTCCCTTTGTGGGTAATCGGAAGTGGTCCTACTATGTCCATAAATATTTTTTGAAATGATTTAACTGCCGTGGAAGTGATAACCATCGGTTGCTTCGTATGCTTATTTGAAGTTTTATTCTTTTGACATGATTGACACTTCTGTACATAATCTGCTACTGATCTTGACATTCCTTGCCAATTATACAGTTTTTTAATTTTTTCATAGTATTCGAAATCCCTCTGTGTCCTGCCAAAGGATTCTCGTGCATTTCTTTTATTATAATTTTCTTTTCCTGATCCGTAAGTTCATTTGGTGTAAATATTTTAATTTTTATACTAGTGCCTTTATACAAATATCTTAACATTATTCTTACTGTTGCCCAATCGAGCTGAAAAATTTGATCACCTGTTTTTGATACTGCTAAATCTGTAATTTGATTGTTGAAACAAAATGTTTTAAATTCTGTAGACAATTATACACATTTTCGTAAGTAATTTGACTTTTCTCTTTCTCTGATAAAATCATATATATTATGTAAAGGGTTACCTTCTTTGAAATACAATAAATCTGTAATTTTTTTATTCTGATTACTTTCCAGATTCCCGTCTTCAAAAATATTACCAGCTACTTCTACAATATTCACGTTTTGGACTATATTTGTCTTAATATAATCCATATACTCATTATATGTTTTACTGCTTACCACTTGTTCCCCTTCAATTTGCATAATTTGTGGTATTCTACTGAGAGCGTCGGCATTAGTATTTAATAAACCTGGCTTATATATAATTTCGTACTCATATTATCCCATTGCTAGTCTCCAATGCATCAGTCTTGATCCTGGATTCTTGTGATTCACCAACCATCTGAGAAGCTGATCATCTGTCAATATATAGAATTTTCTTCCCAGTAAATACGGTCTTAATTGTTTTAAACTCCATACAATAGCTAATAACTCTTTTTCTGTGGTACAATAATTTTGTTCAGCTTTATTCAGTACCCTTGATGAATATACGATTGGTAAATCTTCCCCTATCTTACCCTGCGAAATAACTGATCCAATTGCAAAGTTACTCGCATCGCATGTTACATTGAATGGTTTCTCGAAATTTGGGTAACTAAGAATCGGTTCACTCACTAACACATCTTTTAATGTTTCAAAGGCCTGTTGAAACAGATTTGTCCAATCATATGGTATATCATTTTTTAATAATGAGGTTAACGGTTTTGCGATTTTACCATAATTTTTTTATAACTCTACGGTAATAACCTGATAGTCCTAAAAAACTTTTTAATTGTTTTTGGTTTTTTGGTTCTGGAAAATTTTTTACACTCAAAATTTTTGATGGATCTGGTTTCAACCCTTGTTCCGTGATAATATGACCTAAATATATAACTTCATGACGCAAAAATTCACATTTCATAGGTTGTACTTTCAAATTATAATCCCTAAACCTTTGGAAAATTTCCTTTAACTTTTCACTATGATCTTTCAAATCATGTGCATATACAATTACATCATCTATATATACGAATGCTTTTACTCCATTTATTCCTAATAACACTGTGTTCATTAATCTTTGAAAAGTACTCGGCGCTCCTTTTAATCCAAAAGGCATTTTAAGAAACTCATAATGTCCTTTATCTGTAGAAAATGATGTCTTAGCTTTATCATCTTCATGTACCGACACTTGGTGGTATCCGCTCGCTAAATCCAATTTCGTATAGTATTTAGAATTGCATAGTTGATCTAAAATATCATTTATATTAGGAATCGGAAACACATCTCCGATCGTAATATTATTTAATTTCCTGAAATCCGCACAGATACGAAATTTTTGTTTCCCTGAACAATCCACCTTCTTTGGTATTACTATTAACCTGGCGTTCCAAGGTGAAGTACTTTTTGTAATGATTCCATCTATTTCCATTTGATCTACCTGCGTTGATATCTCTTTTTTGTGATTCCGTGGTAACCTATTTGGTTTAATATAAATTAGTTGAATATCGGGTGCTGTTCTAATTCGATGCTGTATTGCTGATGTTCCATCTAATCTGTCACCTTCTATTAAAAAAACATCGGAAAATTCAATAAATATATTTTTTAATGATTGGTATTCCTCTTTGTTGAGATGCTGCAGTCTTAAAGACTTCTCCAATAATTGTACCCGATTTTCGTTATCTGGACCTTCTGTAAATTTAGTACACACTTGTATTTTTGCCTCTTCAAATTTCTCGTACAATAAACTACCCAAATCTACTGGCTGTAACTCAATAGAATTCTCGGTTTGATTGACAATTTTCGTTAACACTTGCCGATTCCTTACTGTAGTTACTACATTACCACATTGTACTCGATTTTGCAATACTTGTGAATAAATAATCACTGTATCTTTTTCCTTTATTTGACTGTCTGTAATTTTTACTGAAATTATCATTTCTGATCTCGGTGGTACTACTGCAATGTTCAAATTATCTACATGCGGACTGTCTATTTAACACCATTACTAAATTATTAATCTATAATATTTATTTATTAATTATGTACGATTAGGTAATAAACTACTGTAGTATTATTCGGGATAGTCAAATTGCACTTAGGTTCAAAAAAGGGTAATGGTCGAACTGCACTCGGATAAAAAGCAGCCTCATAGTCTCATATTTGGGCTACAGATAAGATTTCTAGTCAAAGAACTACTTATAATGCATGCGAGTCCTTCCACGCAAAATTTAATAAATCATGTTCATCATAGTATAAGATACTTATATTTTAATGCAGAATACTGACACAAGACCTTCAACTACACGGTACCAGAAAAAAAAATAAATAATATTGAAAAATATTGAAAAATATATTAACTTATATGCTCAAAAGCGTATTACCAGGCTGGTTTTTGAATGCAGTTAGTTATTACTAAAAAAAATGATAAAAATGAAAAAAAAATGAATAATATTTGACGATTTAAAAAAAGAATAAAAAAATTATAATATGTATACCTATTATTACTAAAAAAATGATAGAAATTAGTTTTAAAAAAAAGTTATAATAATGACAATAATGATATTTGATGATTTTAATATATTATGTATAATATAAGAGGTATATTAACATAATGGACATTGTGGTATGTATTAAACAATAATTTTTAACACAAAATCATTGTTAGTTCTAAGTCTGTAAGTGGGAAGGGAAATTAGTGTTTTCTAAACGTTATTTACCCCTTAAAATGCATGATATTTTCATTGAAATAGTTTTTTGGGCCCAAGTGCAGTTCGACCATTACATTTTGGCTTTTTTAAACCCAACTCCCAAGTGCAGCTCGACTAAAATAAGTACAATTCGACCATACCCATATTATTAAATATTTAAATTAGGTACAATATTAAAGAATACAGAATACAAAAAATAATAATTACCTTAATATGACTTCTGAGATTGGCATTTGAAGTATGAGAAACAGATATTAATTTTCTTCTGGGTACACATAACAAACATTTAAATGTTAAAGAATTATTGCGAGTATTGGTTGCAGTATCAAATATTTGTTGAAAAAAAGAACTAACTCGCGGCCATTTTAAACTATTTGAAGATTGAAGATCTCTTGTATTTTCACTACTCGTTACCGTACTTAATGACATTTTTAATTATTTTAAGTAATAATTTAATAAATAATATTAAGACATCGGAAATATAAACCCGAGTAGCAATTGAGGTTCATGGAAGGTTCATTTACAAGTATAAATTTGCGGTGCGGAACACAGTTCAAAATTGGTTCCGTGCCCCGACCGATGAGAGTTTTGAATACGGTTTTTAACATGGTGTTAACCGAGTTCAATCAACGTGCAAATAATTTTCATTTACGGTTCTTTGGTGCAGTTTTTAACAGTTCATTATTGTGCCATTGACGGTGCATTGGTGCAATTTTTAACCGTTCATTAATGGTTCAGTTGACAGTGCATCAACCAGGCAAAAATCTAAATTGCACCAAGCAGTGGCGTATCTACGGGGAAGGATACGTGGGTCATATCCCCCACCTCCAGAGAAGACATTTTGTATACAATACAAAATGCATATAATAATATTTACATACTTTTTACATTACATTTCAAAGAACTAATTACGCACTTTCTTCGCCTATTAATAGATTAATGAAAATAACTAATGACGTCCAGATAGATCTATTTAATTTCCCTCTGTTTGATTGTTTTTGTAACCATATTGCGTACCTTTAAATTATTTCTACTACCTATATTATTATTGTCTAAATTATATTTTTATATTGTTTTTTTAGTTTTTAATATTATTATTTATATACATATACTATATTTACTGTATTTCTTTTTAATAAATTTAAGTCTACAAAATTGTAATTGGGTTCTACCCGTTTAAATAAATAAATAAATATGAAAATAATGTGTATCCTGAATGTCTATTAAAAATTGTATATTCCCCCCATTGAAAAATCCTAGATACGCTATACTGGCACCAAGAATTTTTGGGTCAGTTTAGAACCAATTTATATTTTATCATAATACTACAGTGGCGGCTTGAATAGCTTTTTTATGAGGCAACCACCTCATGCAAAAGTTGGAGTGGGTGTTCCAATGACTCTAGCCTCCAAGATTTAGACGGCTATATAGACTAGTTTATAATTTATACTAGCATAGTCACATATAACCTATGTTTAAAATGTGTGAAAAGATAAGTGTAAAATGTGAAAAATTGGTGTGTGGGTATTTATTCAAGTAAGGTACCTATTATTATTGCTTCATAGGGAAAAAGTTCACGCTGCCACTGTTTGAACATATAATAATATACTTACATAGGTATATTAATTATTAAAGTGCCTAAATATGTATATTGATATATATTGGCTTACAATAAATATGAAGGTAAATTAAGCAAAACAATTTTGTATATTATGTTAATTAAAATAATAGTTAACCTTTTATGAATAAAAAATAATTAAGAAATTTGATACAAACAAAAAACAGACATAGACTTATATGGCTTATATAAATGAAAAAAAAAAATAATAATAATTTATGAATAAATAGGCGAACACTCATAATTTGTTTTTATAATGATTTCCACTATGTTTCAATATGTTAGAAATAATATTTAAAAATATCTTTTCTTCATCAGAATTATGGATTCTTCCCGATAATGTTTCTATAAAATCATAATTTATTTAGTCAATTAAAATATTAATATCATATAGGTACAATTGAATATTGATAGTAATTTTACAAAACCACAACTAGATAATTATCGAATAGATTATTGATGAATTATGTATCTTGTATATATTTATGATATGGATAAAAAAAAGGTAAATGGTGCATCACATTGATGCTTATCTAGCTGATCCGTATAATATACTTATAAATAATAAACATTAATAAAATCATTTTATTTTAAAAACTACAACAAAAACCTTCCGCTTTGAGGTGTACAATAAGTAAAATTAAAATCAAATTTATACTGAAGTGTCTTATAATATAAATTTAAATTAATTACCATGTAATACTTTGTAAATTCCGAGTTTTACAAATGGCCTCTTTGTTTTTCCTTGTAAACTAAACAAGGAGGCAATTTCTCTTGTAAAGCATATATCAAATGCCGATTTAACTGCAAAATTTAGACTTGGTAAATTGCCAATTTTCAACAACAAATAAGTTTTCTAAGAAAAAACAATGCAAGTTAAAATTTATATTAAAAATGCATATTCTTTTATGCTTATGATAAACTAATATAACTTAATATCATACATATTTAGTAATTCTAAAAAAGGATATTATAGATAACTATTATATTTACTTTGGTATGAAATGTAAGAAGATCACATATTTATAGTAATGAATATTGTGTATAATAGGATGCAAAACTATACCTATATAGTTCTATTTTGTAGTCTAAATTTAATTGTGATGATTGTGATTTTATTATTGTACTTTATTTTATATCATATCTAAGAGCCTTAAACATTATCATTAATAGTTTTCAATATTCGAATTTACTGTTCTCGTACTATTTCAAGTACCTAAGAATATAATTAATATTTCATCACGTTATGTTGATATGAATATTTTGCAATGTTAAATCAATGTGGTGTATTAAAATATTAAGCTTTATTTTTTTCCGTGGGTATAGTATATTTTATATTATAATATATACTATTTACTAGTCCTGAAAAATCAAAATTTTAGACTCCACACGTTTATCACAAAGGCCGCCCAATTGTACTACTTTTATTTTAAAACATTTGTATAACATTTTATGATTATATGAAATGATTGACAATGTTAAGTTGAAAAAAATGATTTAACTTACCAACTCTTCCACATTACGGTTGAAATTGTCATTGTCTACAGACAACAGTTGTTCAACTACTTCTAGACTATTAATACTTATGATCGGCAACAATTCAATGAACGGTGCCGGTATTTTGGGCAATGGAAATGCAAAGGTTTGAGTTCTTCTATCCCTTTCTAGCAATTTGTTAATTTTTTTGTCCATATTTTCCAGAAATGTGCATACTTTAATTTGATTGGTATTATTAATTAATATATGTGTCAAAAGTTGTTGATCTTTATTTTGTATTATTTTTCTTAATTTTTCTACAGCATCACAACAACAAGAGTTTTGTTCTTTTTCAACTGAAAAATTAAAAATGAATAAGAAAATGTTATTGAAAGCTATAATCAAATTGAACTACCTGATAAATGCATGTTATTGTTAGTTATCTCATCATCGTTTAATGAATTTATACTGACTTCGTCTATATCAAAAACATTGTTAACTGGTGTTCCCACCTATAATACAAATTACCATTATAATAGTATAGGTATAGAATATTAGCATGCACAATTTATTATTACTTTGTTAAAAAAATAAGCAGCTTTGAGTAAGAAATAAAAAATATTAGTATTATGTGTAACTAAAAATTTTGTTTTGCAAATACAGCTAGTGTATTCTATTTTAAAATAAACATTTAATAATTCTGTCCATAGTAACCCTTATAAAAGAAATGAGAATTTTGAAAGGAGCTAGAAAATACCAAAACAAAGGATTTTTTACAGTTTACAATTAATATTTTCTCTTTGTTTATGTAAATGTGCCATAGAACTTACAGAAATATTTTGTGTTATTTTCAAACGCACAATATTATGATATATTTGTATGCCATTGATAACTTACTTGTGCAGGAATAGAAATCAAAATAGGCGGTCTGTCATTTATGTTTGAATTCTGTTTTTCGTTGCTTGATATTAAGCTCTTGTAGTTATTATTAACTGTATTATCATTATTATGCATATCAAAATTATCATCATTAAGCTGCATGGCGTCGGCTATCATAGACAAACAATATCATTTAGATTAGGTTGAAATAACTATTTTAAGTAAATAAACAGCATAGTTATCTAAAAAATACCATAAATAAAATCCATATTTTGTTTAGAATTGTTCTCAATATTCTGATAAACATCTGTTTCTGGAATATTTAATAGATTTTCTTTTAAAGTTTCACCTATTTTCAAACAAAAATTTCATAAGTTTAGTTAAAATGAATTGTGGAACAAAATGTTTTGACCTGTGTAATTAATTAGGTTTATACCTTGTATATAGTTATTATAATTTCTTATTTGCAACTCTTCCTCTGCATTGTGTACATCATTGATTTCATTTGAGGGTTCATTCTTATTTAAAAATATATCTTTAAAAAAATTGCATATTATTATAATTTAATATATATAATATGGATTACAGCTGTTGTATTCCATTATTAAAAAAATATACCTAAAGCACTCTCATCATGTATCATGTTATTTAATAATTTTTCATCCAAATCATTGTTGGTTGATGTGGTCAATGACATATTTGGTTCATTTGCATTGATGGTAACTACATTAAATATTAAAACAATATCTATATGATCATATTTTTAACAAAACAAAATATTTAATTATAATAACATATATACTTGTATAGGTACCTGATTTTACATTTTTTGAGTGATGTTTAACCTTTTTTGTATTGCTATGATCAGCTAATGGTGTACTGGGCGGGCTGGGTGTTTTTTTAAGTATTGGTGGTTTATCGTGATTAGTAAAAGTTTTAACTGGCTTTGCTTTTAGTTTAAATGTGGGTGGTGAATAACATTTTGGCTTCTTTTTATGGCGAATACTTCTTCCATTTTTAACAGTATTGTTATCATCACTAGTTGAATCTTCTGATGCATCACAGCTCTGGCTTTCATCACACCATGATTTTGCAATCATTCTAGAATGCATTTCACTATCTATTTATAACATAATATATTTAAACAGTTTAGATATTATAATGTATGAATAAAATAAAATAATTCAACATAAAACATTATAGATAGGCATACAAAGTATTATACCCACCAAAAGGACCAGCAATCTGTTTACATTTAAACCATGTGCCATCTGTATTATTAGGAACATAACATTTACGTATCATTTTATGTATTTGGTCGGTTTTGAAATGCACTTTTGTATTTGGAAAATCGGCTTTAGTAAAGGGGAACCAACATAATTGTTTTTTTTTGAGATACAGCTGTCTTCTTATTTTGAACTTTTTTAAGCCATATTTTAGGCACATGTTGAATAACATTAGCGTCAACAAATAACACAACAATCCAAGACCTAAAAATGATATATATTAATTAATTTATTTAAATAAATATATACTTAATATATTATGGTTATTCAGTTAATGTCTAACCAATAGATAAATATTAATATGGATATTAATTATCATTGTGAATGAATGGAATTATTATCATCAATCCAATATTTTCATTTAAAGGCAGACGAACAAGTTTTTCTTTAATATCATCAATATAAAATGCTCGAAGAGCACCTAATTTAGATACTCTGTAAATCCCAAATAAAGTTGAATTACATGGTTGTAGAAATAATGGTTCTTGTTGTTCATAACATCTACCAATCACCATGATTCTTTTAGATGTTTCACAAGTAGCTATGTTTTCAATCAATAATATGCTTCCATTATTTGTTTTTACACAACAATCAGATTTGTTAATTTTTATAACAAAGTTCTCTGTTCTCCACCCAGAAAATTGTGGACTGCCAATACCAAATATTAATGGACGATTTCTATTTTGACATATTGTATTTATAGGTTTTACTTTTTGATCATTAATCATATTTACAGCATAGGTCCGATGTTCTTCATAACGACGAATCAATTGTTGAAGAGGTTTCGCACCAGACCTAATTTTTTTTTTTATAGGTTGCATAAAACTTTCAAATGGAAATGCAGAAATATTTTCTAGGGATCCATATTTTTTATAATCTTCAGGCAAGTGAATTAATGAATGAATATTATGAGATATGGATGATGTACCATAAATATCTTTAAATGATTCAACAAAATGCCTTATTAAGTTACTAGCATAAGCAATATATTCTTCATTTATGTTCACAGTTAATAAAATTCTTAAGGCTATAGACAACTCTTTAAAATGTGTATATATCTGACTACTTAATATATCTTGAAATATCACAAAACCGGTATACAATAGACATTGACGCAACTCGGTAGCTTTCCAACGATTAACATCACCAAAAGGATGACATCTAGAATTTTCGTTAGGAGTTCTTTGAAAATCAACTGGTATGTATTGTGAAAGTAAAATAAGTTTTTGATCTAGAGCCTGTATTGTATTTGAAGGAAGAGAATGTATATTTTTTTTTGATGTCCAAAATAATAAAAGTTTTTTAGTTGCACCTATTAGAACTAAATGCATGTAATCATATGGAATGGATGATATCAAATTAAAATGTGGTATTTCTGAAAGAATGGTATTATTTATGTGAAAATTTTTGTAATTGTACAATATAAAATTATCGTGTGTTCTTAATGTAGCATCTAAATCAGGAAAACATGCCCTTCCATCTAACCATTGACCATTGCATGTACATCTAACACAAGAATTTTTTCCTGTATGTCCTTTACAACTTAGAACAAACGACTTTGCAGGTGCATCACATGTTAACGCATGTAATTTAATTGATATACGTTGTCCTCTTAAAATATTTTGAACGTCACATAATTTTTTTAATTCATCAACAAAATCTCTTAAATATTCATTGCTATTTTCTGGTTTTGTTTTTCCATAGAAAACTCCAATTATAAAAACAGATGGCCTAACAGAATTAATATTTGAAAAATAACCAAGTATTGGCCATAATTGGCTTGGAGGATTAGATGTTATAGGAAGACCATCAATACCTGCTACTAATAAAAGTTCTGATGGCAAATTAAGTCCAGAATCAACTAATAATTCTACTTCTCTTTTAATACCAAAATAATGATAAACACCGCCCCCAATGGTTTTTACTATAGCAGTAGAACTAGTTTTTAATAATGTCCTTGTGTCTGAGGGTAAATCAGAAAACAACGGAAATTTTTTTAAATTTTTTAGTAAATCATTAACTGCAGTATGGGTTATATTATGGCGTAAAGCACATTGTGCTAAAACTAATCTTAAGTTTGGGCTTTCATCAATTTCTACAGGAATATTTCTTGATTCATATATTGTGTTGTTGATATTATTAAAATGTATTGAATCATCAGACGTTAAATTTTCAGCAGAAGTAGATAAGCTTCTTGTATTTTGATTAATTTCATTGGACAAGGATAAACTAATACATGAATTTGAATTATTTGATTGTTCATCAGAACTTGATGAATAAACTAATATTGAAGCTACTTGTTGAGCCTTTTTTCGCAGTCGATAGCGAGATGATTTACTTAATGCAAATTTTTTTTTTTTCCCAATAACATTGTCCATAATTTATTTTCTATACAAATTAAAATATAAAATAATTTTAGTTATAATGATATAATATTATGATTAGATTGAAACAATAATAACTTATTTATTGTTTATAGTACAAATAAAAAATTATGCATCAATGCAATTATGGTAGACAATCAATTTATTATTCTATGTATTCACATCAATATGAAATGTTTTTTTTATTAGATAGTTGTATAGTTAAATTATTCAATTACTACATCAAATTAAAAAAGGAAAAGAAATTAGGTAGGTAAATTTTTATGTTTACAAAAATAAACTAAAACCAATAAATTATAAATATCTAAAGGTTAAATAATTTAATGCGGTGCTAGTTTTTATAGGTAGATTTAGTAAGAATTTTATAATACAGTTAATTAATATTAATAAGTAGCAATAAGACAATCTATTTTTTGAAGCTTATTATTACTGATGAGTACCTATAGGTACTAGCATTGAACAAAAAATCACTATAATTAACCGATGATTTAAGTTTATTTAGCTATCTCATTTTAAATTACTTCATTTCAAAATACCTATAACCTAGAGATAAGCCAATACTATACTGTTTGTTATTAATATAACAATGTATCTACAAAATATACACATACGGTTATAAGGTATACGTATACCTTATAACCGTATGGGTAATAGGTACCTATTAATAATATTATTAATAGGTACCTATTAAAGTTACCTACTATTAACCATTAAATAATGTTTAAACCTGAAGTCAAATCAATTAATACATTGATGAGTGTAAGATCATATACGCATGTATTTCAATAGGTATATATATAATTTCAATCCCTGTCTGTTTAAACAATCAGCATCAAGAAAATGCCTCTTAAGCATTCAACGAAATACTTATATTATGTAGATTGAAACAATCGTGTACCTAATTATTATAATTTGTTGTGTACCTATTTATTGTATAGTAACACAAATAACAATTGAAATAACTAAAATACTAAGTATTTAACTAAGTCTTAAATATGAAATAGGTATAAACAAATACTTACATTTCTGAACTTCTTAAACAAAAATTGCAGTTATAGGTATCTACTTATTATATTATACCGTTAACCGTTGTGGTAAAAAAACTGGTATAACTTTTAACAGCTTGTGCTCGTCGAAATGTACAATGTAAAACGGTAAATAACTCGTGCTCGTTGAAAATCGTAATGTTTAAAAATTAATAATTATAGGTTATGTACTTTTAACTTTTAACACAATACAAATTATACAATATGTCACACACTCGTACGCACAACCACGCGTACTTCAATTTTCAAATACGACCGACGCGCGACGACGGTTGTATTATCATCTTTATGATAAAAACAACATAATCGGAACTTTTTGACAGATCGTTCAGTGGGCTGCATGTGACGTAGCGTAACATAATAATATTATGATAATATATTAATATGAGTGACATTTGCGCGGACCTGTAGTAAATTTGGACTTTTCCAATCTTACCTTGTAGTTTTTTTTTATGTTGCTATTATTGAGCTTTGCTTATACATTATTTAATGTACATATTAGCACCTATTTGGTCTTCTGAACCCACTATGAACCAAACATTAATTTTATTAGGTGATCGGTACTTGAACAGCTGATCGGTTATTGAACCGTCAACGTTCATGAACTGAACATAGAACCATACCAGCACATTATTGGTCTTCTGAACCCACTGAGAACCAAACATTTTTATTAGGTGGTCGGTACTTGAACAGGTGAACGGTTATTGAACCGTCAACGTTCATGAACTGATCATAGAACCATACCAGCACATTATTGGTCTTCTGAACCCACTGAGAACCAAACATTTTTATTAGGTGATCGGTACTTGAACAGTTCATCGGTTATTGAACCGTCAAAGTTCATGAACTGAACATAGAACCATCCCAGCACCAAATGGTCTCCTGAACTGACCCTGAACCAAAATATTGTTACTCGGGAAATGTCTACCATATAATATTATAAGTTATAACTGTACTATTAATTGTACTATTGTACTATTAATTGTATTAATTGTAAGTACTATTAATTGTAATTCATTGTTATGTGATTTTAAATTAACAACTATATATTTTTCCAAATAGGTAGGTACTGCATAAAATTATGTACTACATAAAATGTTACTTAGGTACTAATGATTTAATTGTTTTCAGATTATTTATTAAATTACATGTTTGTACCCAGGCTTATAAAAGTCTTTGTATTTAACAATTAATGTCTTTTTATAAATATCACCATGGCCACTAGATAAATGAAACAGAACACAAAATGGAATATAATTTGTCATTTGTGTTTGCTTTTTAAATGGGTACAACTGTACAAGTATACAACTATTAATTTACTTGATAAACTTGATACTACAAAAGTACAACATAATTAAATAATTAAAACAAAAATACTATCCTATTGATTGTAGCCCAAGACAGATTGAATATTATGTTTTACATATTATATTAAAATAATTTAAAAGGAAATTTATATTCTATTTGGTTCGTTTTTTTTTTTATTATAAACTGTGTTTTTTGTCTAAATTATTTTTATAGTTCAAGATGTCAAGGTCCTTATTATTCTGGACATTTTTAAAATGTAGAATGTAGTTATTTTAGTATATAGGTATCTACATTCAATCCGTAAGTGATAATCCATGATAAATATTTCTTTGTCGTGTTATAATCATTAGATTACAATATTCAGTACATAATTACATTTTTGTTTCATTGTATTTATTCCGTACCTAGGTACATATTATTAAGTTTTGATTGTAACAAATATTAAAAATGAAAATGTATAATATTGATAGGTATGTTGTAAATTAAATATTGTTCTTTTACATAAAGCGTCCTATATTAAAAGTAAGCAATGTATACCTAATTTAGATTTGTTAATAAATAATTCATACATGTTATTATTATCAATATTATTTATTCTAAACCTGGAACTTAGAAATATTGACCACAGATTTTAGCTTTAAATACACCATTAAGAAGTGCTTCTAAAACTATATTACGTGAATAGTTTAAAATTTAAAATGTTTCATTTTCAAGTTAAAATCGTTCAAATTATTTGTGGTAAATAAATGATTGGTCCTGCAGTACATTTGGAAAGGT